CGGACACTGGCGCCACCGGGCCCTCTGACCACCACCAGTAGGCAACGGGTGAAGTGTCTTGCCCAAGGACACAACGACCGAGACTGTCCAAGCCGGGGCTCTAACCGGCAACCTTCCGATTACAAGGCGAACATCCAACTCTTGAGCCACAATCATAACTGTGTTATCTGATAACACTGTTTCATTACCAAGGTGATTCACAAAAAGCTGTTAGCTGAAAACTTTGCATTTCGCAACATAGTGTTCAGTGTATACTTGAGAAAACTGACAAAGTGGAGGCCTAAAAGATTATATACAGCAGATGGACCATATCTGAAAGTCACATCCTTAGGAAACAGAAAAAAAAAACAAGAAAGGGCCTGACAGAGGACCTAAGATATGCATCTGGACCTTCTTGTGGATCTGTCTAATGTTTGCCAAAACCTAAACAGAAATGGTCTCAGTGGAAGGATGTCTGTCAGGAAGCCATTCCTACGAAAGGGAAACAGCGAGAAAAGGCTGGCATATGCCAAATTTTTCTTTCAAATCATTGTCAGTATAGTGGTCAGGAGAGAGGAACAGCACATATGACCAGATCTGTTATCTTGACAGAGAACGGAACAACGTCCAAATTTTGAATATCCTTCAAGAAGCCTGGAGAACTATTCCTGAAGACTACTTAAAAGAAATAACAAGAAAGCTTATCTAAGAGTTCAAGCTGTGTTGAAGAATAAAGGAGGTCATACCAAATATCGCCTTCCAAGCTCGTTAGAATTCTACAAACTCAGATGTTGTCTTACACATCGTATTGCCATGAAAGGTTGCACATGTTTCACTATGGTAAATAGCTGCAGATATTTTCAATTTTCCCAGCAAAGGATCAAGAAATGAGGGCTGGCCCAAGACTTTAGCACAGCACTTCACATCAGCCCAAAGCATATGAGAGTTGCTTTTGCCAGCTCACCTATAATGACACATTATGAGGTAAAATGATACATTACAGCAGAAAGAGGTGAGACAACTGTGAAGCTGACTCAGAAGCAACAAATAATCCCCGGCGTGTGAATGTTTTTCAGGTTTCAACAGTTGCATTCATTTGAGGTAGTTACTTATTCCAGTACGGCCAAACACGTGTACTAACAGCAGGCATGTGTCAGTGACCACTAAGTCAGTGACCTACTAATTGTAGTGATGTCATTACCAGAGGAGTGCTGGTAAGTTCAAAGTATGAAACAGCTGGCTTTAGAAGTAAATCAAGTTTTTTTAAAGGCACATGCTTTGCTGTATATGGATTTAAGCTGACATAGAAAAAACTGCCACTTATAGTATAACAGAGTAAAGAAAGAAAAAGAAACCCACGTTGCATTTATAAGATACACATCTAAACTACTCTCATGACTATGCAGTAAAAATGAGACTGCCACCAATTAACGTAGTTTAGCACAAAGGTGTGTGCGTGTTTGTTGTCTGCCAGCCTCATGAAGTGTTAACAAGACTTCAGCCAAGAAATAACCAAACATAAACCACTAGTGTTATAATGTCAGAGAGTTCTTCGCTTTAGTACTACACGGAATAAACAAACAAAGCTTCGTTACTGATCTTTAAATCTTCTGGGTTTTGTTATCTTTGAATACAGGAAGTCTAGTTGCTTTGTCCTGTCTGGTCTTTATGCTGATTTTTTTTTTTTTTTTTGCAGTACACGTATGAGAATATGATCACTTTTCTCATCTGGTT